GTTACAATATAAATTATTTATTATAAATCTAAAATAATATATATATATATATATATTTATTTGAATTTTAAATATAATTTAAATATTCAAACATTGTATTTATTTATATATATAATTTATTTTAGATTCTAATTATATATAATAAACATTTAACATGTATATTACATAGACTAAAATACTACTATCACATTATATTTAGTTGATGTTACATAATTGTTTACTCAATGTCTTTGTTTGTGATGTCATCTTAGTATACTAAAATAAGCTTTTTTTAAATTACATATACTAAAAAATTAATTTTAAATTTAAGAGAATAAAAACAAGTTAATCCTCAATTTCGAGGAACAAAAAATGCATCTAAACCTAAAAAAATATATTAATAATTTAAAGTTTGTGTCCCAAACTAACATGACTAAAATAAGCAATAACACGGTGTATATTTGAGACCAAATATATAACATGAAATATTATTCTCTCTTTATATCTAACAAAAACAAAAAAAGAAAATAACTTCTCCATCAATTGAACTTATTTAACATAATTTTTATTTACTGTGATTTTATGATGTTCCAAGCATGCTCTGACATGTCAACCTATTGGGCATTGAACTCCCTTCCTATGTAAAGAAAAGGCTCAAAATTGAGAAGTTCACTTATGTCTCACTTAACTAAGTTGAGAGGAGGTCTGAAGTTAAAGAGGTGAGAAAGAGGGAAAGTCAGAAGTCACTTGGAACACCAGCATTTTGAGAGAGAGGAAGAGAAAGTCATTCTCATTTTTACACAAAATTGCGATAGTAAAATCGATACTGCAGATTTGTTCACCGTTAATTCGAGCTGAAAATTTGACAGCAAGTTCGAGATATCTAATTCTTCATTCTGAACGGTTGGATTGTTGATAAGAGGTCTAAGTTGGCAGATATTTAGTTCGCGCTGTAACTGTGTATTTGAGATTTTTCATCTTTCTTGTTCTCTATTTGTAAGCTTTATTGCTTTGTTGTTTGGCTGGGTGTTGCACTAATTTGTGCAATTAATTGAGACTCCTTTGTACTATTTGTTGATCATAGTAGAACTATTTCTTTGGTCTGGATGACTCGTAATTTTTTCCCTTATTTTGAAAGGTTTTCCACGTTAAAATCTTAGTGTCTTTGTGTGTGATTTTTGATGATTTATTATTATTGTTCATTGATTATTGCTTCTCATAAATTCTTGCAAGTTAAGGGAATTTATATCCGCTACGTTAATTGTTTGAATTTACTCTGTGTTGTTATTGTATTGTCGTTTCCCCATCACAACTGTGAATATAATTGCTTCTATTGGCCTAAGCATGAACCGAATTTCTGCTCTAGTTATACTGATTACTTCATTTACAGATGTGTTCATTCGATACTGAAGGAGAAAAACTAAGGCTCTGTTTGCTTCTTTTTTAAAAAACTTAAATGTGAATCAAACATGCTCTAAATCTATCTTCAATGAAAAGGACAAATAACATGATATTGACACGGAAGACAATAATCGAGAAAGAAAACCAGACTTTTCTAAAGATTATTTCCATGACCCCCCCCCCCCCCGGTGTATTTCGTTACTGATATCTGATACAAGTCTGTATAACTCAATAACGGGTACAGTGTACAAGAAAAAAAAATTAAACAGCAACTTATACCAAAAATATTGTTTCTCTTTCATAATATGAAGCTCTCATTGCTCTGATATTAGCGTGTAACAAAAAAAAATCCTTATTTAAAGAAAGCAAGAGTTTGTGCACTAGAAAGGAAAAATAAAATACTAGTATACTACTCTTTAACATGTCTTAGTCTCAGGATTTGATTTTGAGCGTAAATTAAGATACATTAACATGATGGATGTAGTGTGCAAGAGATTCCATGTGTTATAGTGGAGTGGAGTGAGGCACATTTACGAACTTTCTCCTGTGCTCTAATTTACAGTTTGCTTTAGGATTATAGTGAAAGTGCCAAAGTGAATAACACAATACAATACACAGATCTTATTTTGAGACCAGCAACCTTCATCGTAAATGGAATCTTTCTGAGACAATGTCACTCATAGAAAACCCATTTGGTCATGAAGTGATTGAGATATTCCTGTTTCCTTTTTCATTTTCTCATCATGTTAAATCTTTTACATTAAGGGTAGATGCAAAGACAACAAATGAAGGCTATCACTAGCATTTGGTGGCACATCGTTACTAAAAATCTTTCTGTATCCTTCTCATCTACTGAGTATACATTGTCCTTTAGCTTCTATACGTCTAATCCTTCTCATCTAATTAGGCTATCACTTGTTCTACAATGTTCATTGATGATCCTATCCGGTAAAAGAATGCTAGGAATGCAAGTGATGAGAAGAAGACATGCTATCCTGAAGAATGTCTCCGTGCTCAACACCCCCACAGGCAGTAAGAACTGTTGCATGGATATAATCACCCACCACAAAACCTTCAACTTGCATTCTACGCATGAGCTTCAGAGCCTCTCTAGTATGCCCATTCCTTGCATAAGCCAAAATCATGGATTCCCAAGAAACTAAATTCCTCTCTGGCATGTTGTCAAAAACTTGAAAAGCATCAGCAACATATCCACATTTTGAATACATATATATTAAAGCACTGTTTACAAATACATTAGACAAGGCAGGGGTCTTGCTTGCATAGGAATGAATTAATTTTCCTTGCATTGGAGCTTCTAGTTCTGCACAAGCTTTCAAGGCTGATGAGTAAGTATAGGAATTAGGCAGCACGCCTTCCTCCATCATTTTCTGCAAAAATTCCAAAGCCTCATGTTCAAGCCCAAGCCTGCAACACCCAGAGATAATGGCAGTCCATGAAACAACATCCCTAAAAGGCAAATGTTGGAGCACCTTCAAAGCATGAGAGTATTCTTTACATTTGCAATAGAACCATACCAAAGTGCTTCCTATGTATATGTTAGTATGGTTAATACTTTTGATTATCTGTGCATGAACTTCTCTTCCAATTAGTGAAGCCTTAATTGTGCCACAAGCCATCAAGACACTTAAAATTGTCAATTTATTAACAGGTATTCTTTTGCTCTTCATTATTTGGAAGAAGCTTATTGCCTCTTCACCAAACCCATTTCGAGCATATCCTGATATAATAGATGTCCAAGTAGCAGTATTTCTAATTCTCATTCTATCAAACACTTCCCTAGAATCCACCATCACCCCACATTTTGCATACATATCAACTAGGGAAGTTCCGATAAAAACATCACTCTTACAGATCTTCTTTATTATGGCACCGTGCAGCTGTGTCCCAAATTTCAATGCTTTATTCTCTCCACAAGCCTTTAGTGTACTACATATAGTATATTCATTAGGAAAGAAACCGTCACCGAGCATTTGTGACAACATCAACAAGGCTTCATGTCCATACCCTTGTTGGGAACAAGCAGTAATCATAGTCGTCCAACATATTACATCTCGCTCTGCCATACAATCAAATGTTTGAAATGCACTTGATATATTGCCACATTTTGCATAAAAATGAATAACTGCATTGTCAACAATTAAATTCCTCCATCTGCTTTTCAAAATACGAGCATGGATTTGTTTCCCCAACTCCAAATCCACTCTTTTACCACACAAATTCATGATACAGACAAACATCTTACTGTTTGCTGGAACCCCATGTTTAACTGAATCTTGAAATAACTCAAAAGCTTCATCATCCAAGTTAAATTTTAAATATCCATCAATAATAGCAGTCCACGTAACAGTATTCTTCCTTGACATTCCATCAAACACCCTACGAGCCTGAGCTAACTTACCCAATCTTAAATAACTACAAATCAAATTATTATCAACATAAGTAACTGAATGACTAAAACATTTCAAGACAATTGCATGTATCCTTCCTACTTCTTCCACATTATAACACAATCGCAGCCAATGAGCTACTAATTCTGGAATGAAGCATTGACTATTCTCAGCTACATTGTCTATCTTCCAGCAAGAATCATCCACGGGAGAATAGATAATATCTTGGAAGTTCAATTCTGCAGCATTCAGTGCTTCAATGCTTTCAGTTGCAGTGTCATAGACTTTTACAGCAGCCAAGCACATACTCCGAAGCTTTTCCAAATCTTGTCATATAAACATAAGGTGACAAATACTAGATTAATTAAAGAGGAAAGCTTGAACTACCCAGTTAAATTGACTCATTCTTGAATCTTAACCTGTGGCACGTACTATAAGATCTATATATTGCAAGGACATAAAAATCCTAAGGCATATTATCACAGTTTAACCTAGGCTAAGCTAGACAAATACTTGACGAGCAATGAGTTTTAAAATAATAACTTTTGGAGAGATGGGAATGAAAATGGAATATGATTATAAAAGGCACCAACATCTAATTTTACTCATAGATTCATAGTAATGAAGTATTAAAAAGCTTTGAACTGGAGGGACATCATTCAATTCAGTGGGTGACCAAATATTTAAAAGCAAAATATACTGCTATAAGAAACATTAACTCAGAAATCAAAGCATATAGTCTCACCATTTTGTATGTCAGGATTGTCGTCATACGATTCAGCTATTATACGAAGATGCATAAAGAATTCTTTCGTGAAGTCTTTACGACTCCTGGAGACAATTTCACTAATTTCAGATGGATTCCCTTTGATCATTTCGATAAGTTCATTATGTCTCTGCAATTCTTCATCTATCTGCACAAGAGGAGTATTGAATAAATTTGTACATTATGGAAGCCATAAACAACAATTTAAAAGAATGGTATAATCTCTAGATATACAAACTACAAAGTATCTCTACATTAATCACATTTCCTTTCTGTTCAAGGATAAAACAACTTCCCCCTTTATTATTTTCTAAAATGTAGTAAACAACACAATTGCACTATGAAATACAGCTACAAGTGCATATGTTGCATTCAAGAGAAATGAGGAAAAAAAAAAAAAGGCATTAAAAAGGGGGGTAAAGGTTTGAAGAGAAATCTGACAGAATGTTTTTCATCAGACACCAACATCATAACAACAGAGTGATGTGTATAAATTTCAATAATAAATGAGTAATGACAGACCTCTTTAAGCTTCGTTCCAAGTGAGAGCAGCTTGTTCTTCATCACCAAATTGTCTTCTGCATCAGCTTTATCCTGACAATGTCTAAAAAAATGAGGCCTAATATTGTTCCACTTCTTGTTGAAAACTAACAAGCTCCTCCAATCGGTCCCCTCTGCCATGAAAGCCTCAATTAGCTTGTCACAATCTCTAATGATTATTTCATAGTTATCCAAGAACCCCATGCCATCCTCACCATCCCTTTTCTCATCACTACCTCTAGGATCATCACAAGAACCATCACCTCTACTGGTACCAGTACAAGACAACCCTTCACTGATACAATTCAGCACTGCCCTTGTGTCACGCGCTGCGACTAGAAAGGAATGCTGTTGATCTGCTCCATCAAGGAACAAGTTAGCATAACAGGAATTAAGATCCTCTGGTGTAACATATCATTACTTCGAGAGAGACAAATACAATTGTGCTGCAAATAAGACCGTCTTAATGTGTTACAAGTTACAACTTACAAGCTTTACAAAGAAAGTATTAATAAGTGAGGATTAGAAAGAGCTTAACTAACACTCCTCTTGCCTTAAATACCGTATCTAAGAAATAATAATAAAAAAAGGCTTTATTGAAAAATTTAACATTTTGTGTTATCAATTCATCTCCAACCGCAAAAACTTTCCACATATTGATTCTTAATCACATCAAAACTTCTTTTAAAAAAGTTATAATCTAATCGTCCTAAAAAAATTCCTCCCGATATAGTCTCAGCTTAATCTTTTGTTAAGTGCGTTTTGTGTGACTCTCAACAAGGAAGAGAAATAAAAATAAATAAATAAATAAACTCCCTAAGCTGATTTTACCTTCCTCACTTATATCATAATAATAACATACATGACATAATGCAGCAAACAGGAAAAAAAAAAAAAAAAAAAAATCTAGCACAATTGGTTGAACATAAGTTATTATAAACTCGTTGTTACCGTGTTCGATTCCCATAAATAAATAAATAATAAAAGTGGTGGGGTGACAAAAATTGAAGTAGAAAAGTAAAAAAAACTGACCTTTGAAGCATGAAAGTCTAAGTGGATTTGTAACGAAAAAGGAGAAGGGGGAGGGAAAATCTGCGGTGGGTTTAAGAGTGTGAAACCTGGGAGGAAGTGAACAAGAGGATTGGAGAATTGCGGTTCGTAACTCCATGTGTGTAGTGAAATGAAGAGATTGGTGGAGAACAAAACCTCGAAGAAATTGAAAAAAATATCAAGTAATGGGACTAAGGTTGTAGGACATAGGAAGAACAAGGAGGGAAAGACAGGGATAAGGAGGCTCGCCACGTCACCAATTCACGGCTAGTAATCAATATCAATCAATCCCTTCCATCATTTTCCCTCCTATACAAATATCTTTTATTTTTCAACAAATATCTTTTATCAACACGTAGTAATAAGTGTTGAATGTATTTTATTTAATATTTTAATTATTGTAAAATAAATATTATTATTTTTATAATTTTATTAATATTTTTATATATCATTTGTATCGAGTGTTCATGAACACATGATGGAAAATAAACCTAACATAATGTTTTATATCATTATTTTTTTTTCTTATGCATTATCAAAATTTTAGTTATTTATCACATTAGTTGTTCTTGATGAGAAAGAAAATAGTTTTATACTATAGGTAGGAAGTATCAGTACCGAAAGAACTTAATTACATTATTAATTTATTTAATTTAACTTAAATTAATTAATATTAATTTAACTTTTAAATATTAAAGCTGGATAAAAAATAGTTATCTAGAATTGATGGTATTTTTTTTAATTATGTTATAGTCATATATTTAAAATATTTACTAATTTTATTAATGACTAATTTTATCAATAAAATTTAATTGATATTTTTAGTAAAATTTTACTTCGACTATATTTTTATAGTTGAAACATCTATAATATGTTTAAAGACAAATGTATCATGTCACATTAGTAATAGGTACACAAATTCAAATATATGACTAATTTATAATTAGCAAATTTGAAAATTTCTTACTATATTTTGTCAATTATTTAAATTATATAGATTAAGTGATATAAAATAAGGATGTAAATAGTAATACATAGTAAACACAAAGTTAGTTCCAAATTTAAGGAATCCTAGAGCTACAATTTCATTATTACCTTTGATTCCTCTCATCCTAATTCTATTAGGAATCCTAATTCAATTGTCTATTGTCAATACTTTTTTTTATGTTTTTTTATTAACAATTATTTTTCATGAACTTAATATAGTATTTTTTAGAAGTAACACTTATTTGATTATATAAGAAATTGAATTCATGAAAACAAGAAGAATATAAAGAATGATTAACATAAGCGATTAGCCTAATTAGATATTCTAAATTGAAGTTTGACCATACAATAATCCTAAACTTGATTCTCCATAGGCCCACCAACTACTCATAGAAGATTGTCGTTCATTTAATTCATTGAAATTATGTTAAGAGTAATCAACTCCTAATAAATAAAATAATAATATAATTCAATTACAAAACTTAAAATTAGGGGTTCAAATTATAACAAAAAGGATTCTCCCACGTATAGACTACTTCCCAACCCTACCTAACAAATCTAGTTGTCCATCTTAACAGAGACAACTAGAAACATATATAAATGTGTGGAAAGTAAGAGGAAAAAAAAAACCTAATTAGGCGAAGGTCTAATTCTTCCTCTCCATGCCCTTTCCTTAGTCTTTTAGAATCTTTCAATGTCTCATTTAGTGTTCCAAGAGAGAAAAATGATATAAAGATGCCAACACCTCTCGTTTTGTCATTTTATAGGCCTACATGGAAATTAAGGCTCTACAAACAAGCACGATCATTGTGACACCCTCTACCCCACATTCTTACACAATAAATAAGAATAATTAAAATCTTTTATAAATAAAATCATAATCTCAAATATCTTACGTAGAGAATTCACACTCATAAACAATATCTCCAATGAAACAATTACAAAGGAAAGAAATTGAGGTTTACAAAACAGTTCAATGGAAATAACATCCTAAACTAGTCATATCCTATCAGAGCACGTCCAACTGAAGCTTAAGCTTTATCACCAACATCCTCATGTTGATGGTCATCTACAACACAGTAAAAGACACACATAGAACAAACAGGAGAGTGTGAAACATTTCACTCAGTTTAAGGTGTAAAAATAATGGTTAGGCAACACACACAAATCATAACAAAGCATAGTACAAAGTACACATTAATCAAGCATAACTCAAGTCATACATACATTAGTAGCACATACATAGTCACTCATTATGCAATGAGGCCATGAACTCAACTCACAAATGCATGCATGTGGTGCTAGTCACATATCACATATCACTGGTGTGTTGCCTAAACAACACACCTAAGGTAGTCTAGAAGTACATGTAGGGAGCTACCCATACACTCTCAACTAGAAGGATGTACTGTTAGAGTATGATCGGGATAGCAAAGTTGCGCAAGTTACGTCTCGTGCTCACAAACGAGCGGAATCAATCCATTTAAATCGCACTATCCTCTAGGACTCCCCCAAGTTGTTACACAAGGAGGGCCTTCCCTAATGGTATACTCCACATCGTACTCGTCACATAGATGCACATGATGCATGTCACACACTCATACTTCATTGACTCATTATTTCACTTGTCATATTTTCTCATATATCATGTCTCATTGTCACATATCATCATGTCTCGTGTCTTATATTCACTTTTCACATTGTCTCTTCATATTCACATAGTCTTATACAAGGAACTTCTCATAGGCATATACATTATAATAGCACACATACCATAACAGGAAATTATCCAACATCATACACATTCAATTCACAATTCATAACATACGAAGCATAAAGGTCATAAACCCAACTTCATGATTTTATGCATTTTTTACAACTAGCCAAGTAATATAATATTTCAATAGGTCAAAACACTCCAAATGTTACCCAAAACACGAATCCATCATCAATTTTATATATTATGCCTCAAAATTCATCCAAAGATCTTATCTCTAATTTCACTTCATAGGGTTTCCTACAAGAACCCACAAAGTACTCTAATTCATATCAAAACCTATCTATTTTCAAAATTAAACACATATTTACACCCAACAAACATCAAGCAGTACAAGAGAAAACTTAGAAGGAAAAATAGAAAACATTCAAAATTTAAACATACATTCATGCTCAGTAATCATTAAGGAATACAACAGAAAACTTAGAAGTCAAAATAAAAAACATTCAAAATTTTTCTGTTTCTTATAGGGTTTTCCATAGGAAACCATAGAACACTCTAATCCATATCAAAACTTATCTATTCTTGAAATTGAACGCATATTCACACTCAGAATCACACAAGGGACGCAACAGAACAATCAGAAAATAAAACAGAAAACTTTCATAAAGTGTCTGTTCCTATCAAGCAAGGGATTGAGGGTCAATCCTGCTACCCAACAGTTATTCCCACACCCCAGAGTGAGATTTCTCACTCCTCCCTTACCTTGATGAGAAGAATTTGAAGCATGGGCAGAATCTAGTTGTTCCTCTTCTCTGAGTTCTCCTTGGTCTTTAGAGCATAAAAGAATTTGAAGCACTTATAGAATACATGAAATGACTCCTAATAACTTCCCTTTTTCTCAAATTAATAATAATAATAATAATAATTAGAAAATGACTGGAACATCCCTCTTTTCCTCTCAAATTAATAAATAATATCATTAAACATATTCCCTCATTTTTAATAAATAAAATATACTTAACTTTAAATAAAATACATTTTCGTAAAAAAATATGTCTTATATCAAATAATCGAAATACTAGTTAAAAATCATGCTTTATATTAAGATAAAACTCATACCAAATAGCTAAATAATAATAAAAATTCTTCTAATAAACACATAAAAACATTCAAATAAATACTACATATTATTAATATAATTTTTGTAAAAGTTGTGGTGTTATAATCATGCTTCAATCAACATGATCATGCATAACTCTTGAATGGTTGCACATATTTTCTACAAGGTTGTGTTGACCAAGTACGATTGTGCTCCATTAAGCATGGGTGTATTGTCCTCCAACAAAAATGAGCTAAGAATTTGCAACAAATACCATAGATTCAACTACAAGTGTGTTGAGTCATCTAATTAAAGATGCATTACTCCTTGTGGCATGGGTGTGCTTCAATGGACATGATCGTACTTATTACCAAGAATATTGATATGGTTCTACTAGGTCTAAAAATCCTTAAAATTTAATATTTTTCCACTACTTCTCCTTAACCTACATCATTGCATTAAACTTAAAAAATTGAGTGAGATCTAAATAATTATATTGAGAAATAAATGCAAATACTCTCCTGAAACTATCTTTAAAAATTCATAAAGATGATTTATCACCAACCAAAATGCTTGAATTCAAAACTTTTCTTAAGAAATATGAAACCAAAATCATCCAGATCAATAGTTATATTGAATCTTAAATTGTTCAAGTTGGAGAGTTCTTTTATTTATTTATTTTTTTAACTTGATTAATATATGAAGGTTAAGTTTCATGTATAGCATCCCATTTTATTATAAAATGGTTCAAAAGAAAGTAGATTTATTACACTTTTGTTAACAAGAAAAAAATAAAAATAAGTTTTTATATAAATTAAAATTAAGTTATACATATGCTAAAAAAATTGTTTTAGAGAAATGAAAGTTTTATAAATTAATTTATGCATAACTTTTTGAATAATATTTTTTATATTTAATTACTCTTTTGATTTGTATAATTTTATAAACTTTATCTTTTAGTTCTACTATTAAAAACATTCATTTTTAAGTCCTCATACATGTCAATTTTGTTTTCTTTCAACTCTTAACATCTATTTTTATAGAGTCCAGAAAGTAAAGCTTATAAAACTAAAAAGACAAAAAAAAACATCATACATAAAAATTAAAATAAAATATTTTTAATTACAAGGATTGAAAGATAAATCTATAAAACTATAAGAACAACTGAGGTTATCTTAATAATATAAACTGAGCTTATACATATAAGATCTTAGATTTAAATTTTATTATCATCATTATAATTATTGTGAATAAAAAAATATAAGAACTACTTGAATTAATTTTTTATTTTTCATCGTTATTTACAAAAAAAAAAATTATTTTATTTTCTTCTTGTGTAATTATAGAAAAATTTATCCGCATATTCCCTTGATTGTCTTTAATTGTTTACTTGACAAATAAGACAGAACTTCCTTAGTCTTCTCTAATTGTTTACGCCCTTTTTTTCAGTGAAAAAAAAAGGTTTGGTGTTGGAGGGTCTCGATATTGAAATGCGGAATCAATCAAATTTAACTGACCGAACTGGTTGGTCCAACTCCAAACTGTATCCGCTCTTCATAGAATGTTACGAACTTTCAAGTTAAAAGACCTTAAAAGTTTCACCATCCATGAATGATGATTAACCCAACACAACACTTTTTTTGTCTTCACTTCTCATCCAAAGTCACTTCACTGTCTTCTCTCTTATACCTAGCTGTCTTCTGTTCTCTTTGTTGGCTCTGAATTCTAAGAATGTGGTTTCACTGAAAGCTCAAATTTGTCTCCCATTCCCCTCAGAGATGACTTCCCTCAGAGAACTTCTCACTGAAGAAGGCTTCTACCAAACAACCCCATTGAAGCCAAACTTCAAACTTTCACCACGAACACCAGAGATAATAATAAACTCACTCCCTCTACACCTATGCCATGATCGAAAAAGCCTTGATTGCTCCAACTACAACATAGACAAGTCCCCTATACAAAAAGCGTCTTGGAAGTTTCAATCCAACTCTCAAAGTCAAAGGGTTGGTAATGGTTCAGTTTCTCAAATTTGGAAGAATTCCAAGTCATTGGTGTCACCCCCCATGGATGAAGTTGCCACCAGGGCAGTGGTTGCTATCCTCAGTGGCTACGTTGGAAGATATGTGAAAGATGATCATTTCAGGAAAAGGGTCAGAGACAAGTGCAATTCTTACTTGGTGAGAAGGAAGAACGGTTCAGGATCAGATGATGAGGTTCTAGTGAACATGAAACAAGGCATGGAGAATATTGACAAGTTGGTGCAAGATCAATGGACAAAGAAAGAGATGAAGATAAAAAGCTTAAGGAATTCCATTGAGCTTTTGACCATAGTTGCTTCATTGAATAGTAAAAGCAAGACCTCAAAAGGTGCTTCAACTTGTGGAATACCCAATTCCCATATCTCAGCTTGTGCTCAGCTCTACTTGGCAATAGTTTACAAGCTTCAGAAGAACAACAGGGTTTGTGCTAGGCATCTTCTGCAAGTGTTTTGTGATTCTCCATTTTTGGCTAGGACTTACTTGCTTCCTGACCTATGGGAGCATGTGTTCCTTCCTCATCTTCTCCATCTCAAAATTTGGTATTCTGAGGAGCTCGAGGCGCTTTCGGCCTCTGGTGAATGTGAAGCTGAGAAGGAAAAGAACATGAAGACTTTGAGCAAAGTGTATGGCAACAAAGTGGATACAGGAACTGCTTTGTTTGCTTTGTATTATAAGCAGTGGCTTAAAGTTGGGGCTAATGAGCCTCCTCTTCCTATTGTCCCCTTGCCATCAAGACCAATATGCGGCTCATCAAGAAGAATGTCTTCGGATTCTTTTGTTTTGCATTCCTCAATCAACACAAACCTGTAAGTGACATGGACATCTTGCATTCGCTAGTCCACTCTAGTTATTTTTTCACAAGAAACAAAATTAAGTGTATGGTAGTTATGTGTGTTTTTTTGTTTTTTGGTTTCTTGCAATAGATACAAGGAAGTATTTGGCCCCAAACTAGAGCTGAAATCTACCACTCTATCTGATCAAAATGGATTGTTGACAATTAGATGGGGCTCAGGGAATCAAGAAAATTTGCACGGAGATGAATATTCATTTCAGGTTTGTTTCAGGGTCTTCATTTCATAGTAGATTTGAAATACAGGAATGCATTTGAAACATATGCCATTTTATTTCTCATTTTTGACAGAAAGAAGACACTTCATACCTTGGAAGATCATCAAGGTCAATTGACAAGAGTTATGCTGAATTAAGGCCAGGATCACAGAGATTGGACTATTTTCAATGCTTTTCTTGCAGGAGTATGCAAGCAGAAAGCTTGGTGAACAGAAACTACACATCCGCCAATGCTTCATTTAGAAATGAAACAACTGTTCTTTCAAGTGAATTTGTTGGAGCTATTACAACTATATGTTCATCAGATATTCTAAGTGAACGTGAATTTGCAATTCGAATGATTTCCAAAGCATGGTTGAACTCTCATGCTGACCCTCTAATTGAAGAAGCACTTTCACAATCTACTGTGATTGAGGCTATCCTTGAGGTATTGTTGGCTTCAAGTGAAGATGAAATTCTAGAATTGGCTATATCAGTTTTAGCGGAATTAGTAGGAAGGAATGGTGCAATTAGACAGACTATACTGAGTTCAGATCCACAACTAGAAATCCTTGTGAGACTTCTTAGAAGAACTGGCCTATTTCTAAAAGCTGCAGTTCTGCTTTATCTGTTAAAACCGCAGGCAAAACAGATGTTATCACCAGAATGGATGCCACTAGTACTTCGAGTTTTAGAGTTCGGGGACCAAGTGCTGACCCTCTTCACAGTACAATGCAATCCTCAAGTGGCAGCAATTTACGTTATGAACCAACTTCTTACTGGTTTTGATAAAGATAAGAATTTAGAGAATGCTAGGCAGGTTGTTTCACTTGGGGGATTGGCCCTTCTTATGAAGAGAATTGAAGAAGGAGGGGTTCATGAGAGAAACAATACTGCTTTGCTAATTTATAGTTGCATTCATGCTGAAGGAAGCTGCCGGAGTTTTCTAGCTGAAAATATAAGGAAGAGTTCTTTACTAGAACTTATTGTTCTTGGCAATAGTAAAGATTGCAGTAGAAGTGCCTTTTCTGTGCTAGCTGAGTTACTCTACCTTGATAGGCATGTACTTCATCACCTATCTTTTCCTAGATATCTTTTTTATTCTGTTCTTTGTTTCCTTGCTTTCTTTTATTAGAAAGTACTGATATGATAGTTTTCTGAAATCATTTCAGAAGCACCAAGATTTTAAATTTCTTAAGGGGACTTAGAGATGGATGGGGTGGCTTAAATGCAATGCATATTCTGTTCATCTACCTTCAGAGGGCTCCACCCGAAGAACGCCCTATGGTTGCAGTGATATTATTACTGCTAGATATTATGGTAATTCTTTCAACTTACTAATCCATGTGTGGAAATATTAACCAACTATTTGGTCAATAATTTTCCAAGTTATTGTATAACTGATTGTTTCCAAAATCAAGCTCTTAAATGATTAGTATCCATTAGTCTGTAATACATCAATTGTAGTATCTAGAAGAGTTCATAAATGGAATAGCAGTTGTGTTGCAGGAAGATCCTTTCATAGGGAACTTATACGGAGCAGAAGCAATTGACGCAATTGTGGCTGCTTTAAATTGTCAAGTATGTAATGATATAATACAAGAACAATCTGCAAGAGCTTTACTCTTGTTAGCAGGACACTTTTCTCATACAGGAGAATCATTAATGGAAAGAACACTTCTACAACATGCTGGTTGCCAAGAAAATAGCTTAGAAGATTCCTCTTATGGCAAGGAAATTGTTGTTTATGATTCAGCTCACAAGGTAGTCTTTGGATAATAATTATGCGATTGTTAAGTTTCACTTTCATGTCCTTAGTTTTCAGAACAGGAATTATTTTTAGTACTATTTGCTATTCAAATTATTGATTGGTTGTATGGAATAAGGAGAATGATGAAGCTGAAAGTTGGAGAAGAACAACAGCAAGTGTCTTGTTCAAAAGTGGAAATAAGAGTTTACTAAATGCACTTTCAGATTCTGCAGCCAATGGAGTCCCAAGTTTAGCACGAGCTAGCCTTATAACAATTTCATGGATGAGTAGCTACCTTCACCTAGTTGATGATAGAAAGTTTCCAACAATGGCATTCTCAATCCTCACGCCACTGTTGCTAAAATCCTTAAATTATGATAAGGATGTTAAGACAAGAGTGCTGGCTTCATATTCATTGCTATGCCTTGTAAAAAATCCAGGTATGAACTATGAAATTCTTGACATCCTAAAACTTATGCCAAACTTGTCCTAAAAGGACTAGTTGTTTCAGTTTTGTTCTCAAACTTTCAAATTTGGAATCATAAGAAAAAGGGGGCCTTCAGAATATATTATCATAAATTGATTAAATTTTAGTTAGAATTTTGTATTATTGTTTAACTCTTCATTTTTCATTTGTCCTTTCTTCTGGAAAACTCCTAACAGAATGTCTCTCTTTCCTACCATCATTGGATGAAGACTCACTCAAACATCTCCGAAATCTCTCTCTAGTGACGTGGACTGCGACTGAGCTAATTGCAATCATCTCCAAAATCAGCTTGGAATCAAAACAATGAAAAGCAAAGCTCCATGTTGAACTCTTCCGTGTTAATTCTTTTATATACATGTGATTTTAGTCACCCTTGAGTTTATATAGTTGATTAGTTCAAATGAGTGTGTTTCTTCCAAAATCTATTTGTTTCATTTTATGATATTATGATTTCACAACCTGAAAAAGCTTGTTCAGCCAAAGAAAGAAAGTACAAAACCGGGGAAAACACTAAACGAGTCTTAGGTGTTTAGTAATATCCAAGACAAGCAGTTGCACATTGATCTTGCTATTATATTTTTGTTCCTAGATTACAAAATGTGTCCTAATACCAGTGTCTTTCTAACTTCACCCCTCCAAAGGAAAAGGAAAAAGAAAGACAGGGCAAAATAGATGATGAAAAGGGCACTTTTATCAACTGTTTTACATGGATAACGAACTTTTCTCTTTTGCGTGTTCTGCATGTGCACCTGTATGCTCGAGATTGTGACATAGTGAATTACCCCTATCTCTATAAGGAAAAAGAATCTCATAGAAAAAGAAAAAAAAATCCTGACAGAATAACAGACAAACAGAACAGAACAATTTGGGACAATGTTGGATATGTAATTGTGTGGATGTGATGTGATTGCTCATTGTAGGAAACTCACTGTGGGTAAACAGTTTTCTATACTAAAAATATTTTATTCATGCATACACACATAAGCAAGTACGTATTAAACATGTACTTAGTAGCATCCTGATCAAAGCCAAAAAGATGAATTTGGAAATCAGTTGAGTTGAATTCAATAGGAGTTTGAAAAAAATTACACTTATAAGTTTTTGTTTTTAGCGTCAGAAAACTTATTTTTTGATTGAATGTGATTTTAAACTAATTGAATGTGATTTTAAACTAGTATATAAATATACACTCATGAGTTGTCGATTCTGAATAGAGTAAATTTAATCGGATACACAAAGAGAAATGTTAGGGAGTGTAGTGGAGGTGTAGTGAGTTGAGATTTTAAAGAATTTTAAAAGATTTTTTTATTATAATTTTTTTTTTAGTATTCAATCAATATTTTTTTAATATAAAAAATTATATGGTATTTAATTAAGACATTTATGTTTCAAAAAAGTCTTAAGAAATTTTAATTCAATACACCTCCTTATATAATATTGAGTAAACATAATTAATTTTTTAACAATAAATAAATAAATAGTTTCCAAAACATAATATAATATAAAGTAAAATAACATGTTAGAAACCGATAACCAACAAGTACATTAGATTAATTAACATAAAATTATTCTAGTTTAATAGTAATTCTCGGTTCAATTCCTAAATATATAGCATCTTAAATGATACCTGTGATTTCCTAAAAAGATTTATGTACTGCTTATCAAGTTTTTTGTGACACTTTGATTCTACCTGTTACCGACTTTCAGACCATAAAAAAAAAATCATGCATCACTGGAACACAGGTCAAGTTCCACGTCATCTATGCAATGATGTTTTGGCTTTCTCCATGGCCTTTAGTACTATCGATAAATCTTGGCATCAAATGCCATGTTAAGTTCCCATACATATACAGACAAAGTAAGTTTTCCTCAATCAGTTTTAATATAGCTCAATGATATTGACCATATTAGGTGAATGTCCCATCTATTAGACTAACCAATCATCCTTGTGTCAAGTTTATTATGATGCCATGTTTGATCTTTTCAATGGAAGAATGGTAAGTCATTTAACCTAAACTTTAAATCTTAAATTCTTAACAGTTTCTGAAGAGGATATATATATTTTTTATATATTATACTTTAAGTCTTTGTACTAATTTAACATCACAAAATCAATTTAAAAATTTGAAAACTATCTTCATTAATGATATATAAAATTTGAGATTTAGAATTTACGCATGATCAGATAACAAATAATTTAATTGTATGTTAAAATAAATTTTAATATCATTTTAAAAAAGTAATTTTGACTTAATTCAATCTTATAAAATTCTTATAAGAATTATTGTTGAATAATGTTTACATTTATATACTTTTTTTTACTCCAAACATTACTAGCTAATTATCAACCATTCTTTCGTTGTGAATTACGATGCCCTCATGGTCATGGGGAAGATAACTAGACCACATGACAAAGGATTCACCAATCAACGTGAGTGTTGTCCTAGAAATCCTTCTGGTATGGCCAACTCTACTCTTGTTATAATTATTCATCCCATGATCCCATCCCTAAGCTTCATCCAATGAATTTTGCAGCAAAGGAGAGAGTTTTGGTTGGCCAAACTCTATGTTGTAGGCATGTGCTAATTACAGTGGCCGGCCGTACAGGTGTATCTTTCATTGTCCTAATATGCATTAGAGGAGCCCCCCATCTCAAAGAAAACAGTGAAAACAGCAGTATATGTAGCAAAGAGTAAGACAAAAAGTCTAAACTCAAATTTTGCATGAAGTACTGATATGACCAATTATTATCAACATGCATGGTCCCCGTTTTCCCTCTACGCTCTCTTCACATGCTGGTCTCAGTAATTGGTCTCCAATAGCGTCTCGTGTGTGTGCAATGTAAGAATAACGTATGTACACGCATGCGTAGCCTTTTACCAAACACAGTTCAAACTAGCATTGCGCCAGAAAGAAGAAGGTACGAGATTCGAGCAGTGCAATGGACCACAAGCAACACAACATTTCAAATGGTTAAGGGAAATGTGGAAAACCATTAATCTAACAACATGATTTCTTTTGTTCAATGTATATGAGATAATCGATTATGAGAACACTGGCTCAATATTAATCTAACATGTAAGTTTGAATATAAGATTCCATTGGAATCCGTATATATAATCCAAATAGTTGAAACAAGATTGTACAAAGAGGCCTAATAGAAAAATCACAAATGCTATCGAGGATAAATCCAAAATGACCCTATTCATCACTTTCTGTGAACTTCCGTTGTGGACTATTGTATTCTTTCACAAAGAGAAAAGAGAGAAGAAAAAGAAAATAAATGTTAGAAGATTTCACTAGCCGAGACACCTTTCAGGGTGTGTTTGATTTATTAAAAAAAAAAGTACTTATTTACTAGTATTTGATTTTTTAATTAGTGCAAATTTTTTTACAAAAAAATATTTGCAGTAATTTTTTTACAAATTTTCTTGCAATAATAATTTCACAAAAAAATTTACGAATTTATTTGCGAAAAATAATTTACATATATTTCTTATAAATTTTTTTATGAAAAATAATTTACAAGAAATTTTTGCAAATTTTACTACAATTTTAATGATCATAAAAAAAAATTTCCATGGTAAAAATTTGCAGAAAATATTGTAAGAATTTTATTTTGTTTCTTGCAAAAATAAATTCGCAAGTAATGTTTACTAAATGGTACAAAAATTTTGCAGGTAACTTTTCTTGCAAATTTTCTTGCCAATTTTAATCTGCAGGAAAAATTAAAAATTATAAGTTTAATATTTTAAAAAAACTTCAAGTCCCACATCGATTGAAAATAAAACAATTAAAGAGTATATAAGTTGGGGCAACACTTACCTTACAAGTTGATTTGTATGGTTGAGTGCTAGGCTTATAATCTACAATCTTAGAGTTTAAAAGATTATGTATCATATGTTGGAGGCGTGGAAATAAATGCTTCAGATGAATTCATTTGAAAGTTGAAGAATTATTGATAAATTTTGTAGTATTTCTTTAATTTTTTTTTGTAAAAAATATTCCTGCAAAATTTCTTGCGAAAAAATTCGCAGGAAACTTTCTTACGAATTGTTTTGCAGGAAACTTTCCTGCGAATTTTTTTCGCAAGAAATTTTGTAGGAAAATTTCTTGCAAATTTTAAAATTCGCAAAAACATATTATCCACAAAGGTATTACCTACAGATACAATTTCGCAGAAAAATTTGTAGGAACAACGTTTCCTGCGAATTTTTATAAAAAATTCGCAAGAAAAGTCGCATGTAATAAGAAAAATTCTAGTAATATTTCTCTTCTATCTTGCTTCCCTTCTCCCACTCTTGCTTATGTTAAGGAATATTAAGAACTCTTACATGCCCTTTACAAGTGTGAGCCCACATTAAGTGCATGCATCTAATCATTACAGCCCACATTAAGTGCATGCATCTAATCATTACATTTCATATTGATTTAAAAATTATAAGGCATTATATTTATAAGCTTTTTTTATATTTATATGTCAACATATTTATTAGACTAAAATGCATTTTTGTCTTTTTATAATTTCTAATATGTTAGGAATAAAAAGATAATGACAAAGAGAATAAAGAAGAAAATATAAGAGAGAGAGAAAAAAAATTGACTTGTCTTATTTCTAAAAAATGATTAATCTATTTATAGGTATATATAGTAGCCGAACAATTACAAAGAGAAAAATAATACATGGTGGAATTTGATATGAATTTGACAACTATATCAATTATCCTAAGTATTAAATTGGACAGAAGTTCAAGTTATCGAATCTACGAGGACTTTAGTTAAAAATGTATAATAAATTTTGGTGTTAAATAGATAATTTAACAAGAGTTTGAAATTGTTCAACAAGAAATATTTAAATTCAATGAAAACAAAATAAAGCAGTAAATTTTGAGTGACTTGAATTAACAAGAAGAATAGTCAGAGATTGATTCACTAACTTTCCTATGTAAAACCTCTTATTTTTCCATCCAATATTGTAATTATATCATTAATTCGAAAGTCCACAACTATATTTAAACCTTGATTCATTAGGTGAGAAAATCTAAGTTGTTTAAGGAAAATCTCAATTCTTTAGTAATTTTTGTTAAACAATCTTGCATTAAGATTAAGGACCAAAAGTTGAATGATAAGGTTTATCCTATTTCTTTGGTAATAAATATTATCAGCATTTTATCTATGTCATAATTTTTAAAAGGGTTTCCCAACCTCAATTAAAAATTATTGAATCATGTGGAGGTTAATTAGGCTAAAACAACCATTAAGTACAAGAATAAAATGATTAATTGAATAAAGACTTTGTTGAATGAAAAACACAAAGAAAATTACACATAGTTCTAAGTAGCTATCTCAATCTCCAATAGTCGAGACTTAGTCACTCATGACTAACAATTACACTATAAAAGAATGACTTTTGAACTATTTGTGATTACAAGAGTAAACTCACAAGAACTTTCTCTAATCTCTCTAGAATTATGCTGAGAAGAATATTGAATGATAAGAATGGAATGGAATGATACAAATACCTCCTAGAAATCTTATTTTTATAATATTTTCTAATGGGATTTTAGGTCAGATGTACTCACTCAGAGTGCCCATGTAGCCTGCTTTGAGCGAGGTTGTGCGTGCTCTAGTGATGCTCTCTATTTTGACTCGTTCAGAGTGCTTTTGTGGTGGCTCTAAGAAAATTTCGCTCATTGAAAGTGCCTAAGTAAGTCACTTTGAGCGAGTTGGCTTAATTCATTAGGGGTATTCTCTAACTTCACTTGCTTAGAGCTTTCATGTGGTAGTTCTAAGTGAATTTCTCTGGCTCTAAGTAACATACTCACTTTAAACAAGCAGTGTTCATTTTCAAGGGTTGTTGGTGCCAAGTTCAAAGCTTCACAAATTGGCACCTAAATTTGAATTCAAATTTTCAGCCCACATGTGCTTGGTCGTGAATCTTGGTGCTTCCATGCATCTAAGTTTAATTTGGCAAGCATTTAGGGTTGATTTGAGTGTGTACATGTTCAGCCACTCATGGTGAAAAACATGTGACTCAAATGCAACTTAAATGACTTTCAAATTAAACATAGTTTTGCCTAATTAGTCTATTTAAGTAATCCTTCCATATTCCTATTCTAATGGCTTAAATACAATGGGCAACCAAATACAATCAATAGGAAAAATTACAATAATTAAAATGAGCCCCATATTGGGTACCAAAAGCCCAAAGGTCCATGAAGCCCAAAACTAAGCCCATTAAGCCTAAGGCCCAAAATTCCTATACTAAAGGTCCAAAATACAAGACCAAAAATATGAAACCTATACTATATGCAATGGAGATCTCAAGATGTGGCCCATGTAGAAATCAACTTGGGCCCACCAAGCCCAATGGCCCATTGGGCTTTGAACTAGCCCAAATCTTCATGTCTAGCTTATTCCTCTTGGATCCTTCAAAGTGTCTCCTCTTGCCCTCCTTGGCATGATTCTATGAATGAGCCCAACACGAAGAACCAAGTTCGAAATGAACGTGAATTCCAACAATTTAGAACGCGAGTAGAGCATTCCAAAATTCGTTAATCATAAAAAAAACACTATTTTTATATTCCAATCGACCAAAATCCATCATAATTACTCAAAAACACATTATAACACATCAATTTCATGTAAACATGCATCAATTACAGAAATCTCAATCTCTCATGAACCCTAAGTCACACGCACATTTCAAATAATTAGTCTCTCTTCTAGAACATCAATTTTAACATCTAATACCAGAAATGTAATCACAAATCCACATAGAAATTATCAAAATTATCAAACATACAAACAGAAACGAATATAAAATTCCTAAAAATTTTAGGGACCTCTCCCTTTACCCATTCCCTCTTGTAACTACGCATATGAAAATCCCCTTTTCTCCCGTATCTTGTTGCTTTGATCAGTACAATTCTGATGTATTTTGGGATTAATCCTGAGTACTTCCCCTCAAAGCTCCCTTCTTCTCTTCTCTTTCTCTCCTAATCATTCAGAACGCAAAATGACCCCTTTCTTAAAATAATCCACTGGGCCCAGTCAACCTAATCCACGTTTCTTTTCACTACAAGAAAAACTGTTATTATCTACAGAATATTACCTATGGAATTTTTTCCGTAGGTAATTTTTAGTTATCTACGAAATATTACGTACGGATTTTTTTCCGTAGGTAATGTTGAGTTATGTACGAAATGTTACCTACGAAATTTTTTCCGTAGGTAATATTTAAGATTTTCTTTTTCTCACATTTTTTATTATATATATTTTTTTCTTTTAATACAGTATAGAAATAAAATGCGTACATTATTTTTCTTTTAATATTTTAAAGTTTAATATTAGTAATAATTTTTTTTATAAAAAATTATAATAAAGTATGTAAATAGAATATGAATTTGTCTTTCAACAAACTTATAAATTTCATTTTATTATATAAATCAACAAGTTTAATATTTAAAAAGATAAATAAAAGTATATATAATTTCAATATATTATAGTAAATTTAATATAATAATAATAATAATAATAATTATTATTATTATTATTATTATTCATTTTTATTCAAATAGATCAATCTTTTAATATATTATAGTATATATAATTTTAATATATTATATATAGTAATTAAATTTAATATAATAATAATAATTATTATTATTATTCATTTTTATTGAAATAGATCAATCTTTTAATATATTATAGTATATATAATTTTAATATATTATATATAGTCATTAAATTTAATATAATAATAATAATAACTAATATTATTATTCATTTTTATTCAGGTAGATCAATCTTTTAAGTGTAATATAAGTTTTTTTTTAAA